CTCACCTCATACCCCTTATGACCGTCAACCCGGATAGGACGAGGCTGAGGCAGAGAGGCAGTAAAGCAATTTCAGACCAGAGGCTTCAACAGGGATACATGGAAGACATTGGAGATACGCATCCCAGGAGGAAGAGCAAGGGCATAGGCAACCGGGTTCACCCTGCGGAGAATGCGGAAAGGACCAACAAAACAGGGAGCCAGTTTCGGTGCGGGCACCCGAAGATTGAGGTTACGAGTGAACAACCACACCTGATCTCCGACCTGGTATGAAGGAGCGGGCAACCGTCTACGATCAGCCTGGAACTTCTGGCACTGAGCTGAGTCCTTCAAGGACCTCTGGATCTGCCCCCACGAGGAACGCAGGGCAGCAAGATGGTTATCCACAGCCGAAATGTCCTGTGGCGAGAACAACTCAGGCAATACAGCGGGTTGGAACCCATAGTTGGCCATGAAGGGAGACATCCCGGAGGAGGGGTTGACAGCCGAGTTTCTCGCAAACTCTGCTCATGGCAGGAAATCGACTCAATTGTCTTGATGGTCTGAGATATAGCAGTGAAGGAATTGTTCCAGGGCCTGGTTGGAACGCTCCGCAGCCCCATTGGACTGTGGGTGGTAGGCCGAAGAGAAGGAGAGCTTGATACCCAACTGGGAGCAGAAGGCGCGCCAGAACCTGGACACAAACTGGCTCCCACGGTCCGAGACAATCACCTTAGGTAACCCATGCAAGTGAAAGATCTCCCTGGAGAAAACCGTAGTTAGTTCTTGTGCAGTCAGCAATTTCTTGAATGGAACACAATGGCACATCTTGGAAAAACGATCAATGACCATAAGAATGACCATATGGCCTTGAGACGCAGGGAGGTCCACAATAAAATCCATGCCCAGGTGTGACCAGGGGCGCTCCCCATTAGGAATGGGTTGCAGAAGGCCCAATGGAAGATGCCGAGGAGATTTATTCTGGGCACAGACCGAACATGCTGCTACATATGAGGCAATGTCGGAACGGAGAGATGGCCACCAGAATAACCGAGAAACGACCCAGGACAACTGGTTCCTCCCTGGATGACCGGCAGTCTTGGAATTATGGTAGGTACGCAGCAAGCGGGTACGCAATCCCTCAGGTACGAAACATCTGCCAGCCGGTCTATCAGGGGGAGCATCAGTTTGAGCTGCCAAAATCTGCTCCCCAAGGGGAGAAGAAAGGGTGGTACGAATAGCAGCCAGGATCTGGTCCGGAGGTATGACCGAGGTCGGCTCAGAGTCCTCCCTAGTCAGCTCAGAGTATTGCCGCGACAAGGCATCAGCCCTGACATTCTTGGAGCCAGGCAAATAGGAGACCACATAGTTAAAACACGACAAGAACAGAGCCCATCTGGCTTGACGGGGCATCAACCTCTTAGCCTCCGAGAGATATGTCAGGTTCTTGTGGCCAGTGAGAATGAGAACCGGCCTCCAGCAGGTTCCCATTCCTTGAGAGCCTGAATAATGGCCAACAACTCCCTGTCTCCAATCTGGTAGTTGCATTCTGTGGAGGAAAGCTTCCTGGAGTAGAACCCACAGGGAAGTAGGGGTCCATTGGGTGACCGACGCTGAGACAGGAGGGCGCCTACTCCCGTCTCCGATGCATCAACCTCGAGGACAAAAGGCAACCCAGGATTGGGATGAGACAGTATCGGAGCCGAAGCGAAGGCGGATTTCAGAGCTTCGAAAGCTACGATGGCCTCGGGTGACCACTCGTGAGGATTACTGCCCTTCTTGGTCAGATCGGAGAGATGCTTGGCCAGCGTGGAGACGTTCCTGATAAACTTCCGATAATAGTTGGCAAATCCCAAAAAGTGCTAAATGGACCGAAGACCACTGGGACAAGGCCACTGCAGAACCGCCAAAACCTTCTGAGAGTCCATGGAAAAACCCACAGCGGAAATGATGTAGCCCAAAAAGGCAACGGATGCAACCGGCCCCACATTGTGGAGACCATGAGAGGATCTCGACCGACCGCCAATCAAAGGTCGGATTGTGCTTCTGAAGCCAGGGATAGCCCAAAACCACGGAGTAGTGCGGGGAAGAAATTTCCTGGAAACAGGCCAACTCCCTGTGGACAGCCCCAATAGCTACTTCAACTGGCAGGGTCTCGTGGGTAACCTGTGATGGTTGCAGGGGCCTGCCATCTATCGTCTCAACGACCAATGGAGTAACTCGAGTCTGCAGAGGAATGGAGTACTGGGCAGCAAACAAACTGTCCATAAACAGACCACCAGCACCAGAGTCTACCAACACCTGGGCCGTCACCGAGCCTTCCGCCCAAGAGAGGACAACGGTGATTAACGGTTTATCTTTACGGGAAACAGGGGACGAGAAAACTGCACCCAAGATCTGCCCCCGACAGGATCTCAGGTGCGAGCGTTTCCCGGACGGACCGGACAGGACTGCCGAAAATGCCCACCGAGACCACAGTACAGGCAGCGACCCTCCCGATGCCGAGAAGCCCGCTCCCCCTCAGAAAGGCGAGCAAACCCCAGCTGCATGGGCTCACCACAAGACAAGCCATCCCCAGGAGGCGTCGGAGGAGAGGGAGGCACGGGTGGGACAGAAAACGTAGGCGCCAATCGGTTAGGAGGCCTCCGCAGACGCTCCTTAACTGAAGGCCTCTCTCTGAACCTGGTGTCAGTCAGGATTAGGAAAGAAATGAGTGCTTCGAGCTCCACAGGCAATTCTTTGGCTGCAATCTCATCCTGCATCTGAGAGACCATGAGAGAAAGCAGCCACCAGAGCCTCATTGTTCCAGTCTACCTCTGCCGCCAGGGTACGAAATTCTATGGCGTACTTGGCAACGGTCCGTGAACCCTGATGCATGGACATGAGCAGCTTAGCAGCAGAGGCAGAGCGAGCAGGCACATCCAATATCGTACGGAAGGAGGCAACAAAACCGGCAAACTCGTGAATCACAGGGTCATTGTTCTCCCATAAGGGATTTGCCCAGGCCAAGGCCTTGTCCGAATGCAGCGAGATTAGGAAGCCCACCTTTGACCTCTCCGTAGGAAAAGCATGGGGTATCAATTCAAAATATATGCCCACTCGGTTAAGGAAACCCCAACACTGACTCGGCTCACCCCCAAAGCGCTGTGGAAGGGGGGCTGAACCAGTCATGCCTCTGGGCACCGCAGGTGCGGCAGCAGATGCGGAGGTAGGCGCAACAACCGGAGCAACAGCGAGAGCGACCACAGGAGTGACAACCAGCCTAATAGCACCAGTAGTAAGGTGCGCTGTGCGTGCAAGCAGGGTTTGCAATACCTGAGTGAACTGATCCAACAAGCGATCCTGCTGATCAAGTCTGGCAACCAACATAGAGAGCGAGGGCGTACCTGCACCGTCAGGATTCATGGCATTCGTGTAGTGTCAGGGAGCGAGGAGCCACACACACAAGGAGGTGCAATTAAAGGTAGGTTTATTGTACAAAACAAGACAAGAGTCTATGCAAGTCCAACAGCAACAGCGGATGACTGAGTAGGACAGTAGCCAGGAAGAATGGTCACCAGAGCCGAGGTCAGAAGCCAGGAAGGATGATCGCCAGAGCCGGGGTTCGGAAGCCAGGAAGGATGATCGCCAGAGCCGGAGTCAGAAGCCAGGAAGGATGATCGCCAGAGCCGGGGTCAGGAGCCAGGAAGGAGTCTTGCCAAAACCGAATCGGTATCCAGGAGAGCAATGAGAAACCAACGGAGCTTGTTGCAGTGCCACAGACAGGACACGAATGCAATGAGCAGCTGCAGACAGCAGGCTTAAATGCGATAAGCCACTACCTCCTGGAGGAGGAGCCGCAGAGGACTGAAAGCATAAAGGATCCCACAATGCTTTGCAGAAACCTAAGATGGATGCCAGCACATGGAGCAGCACAACCCTGAGGAAAGGTAGGACCTTGACAGAAAGGCATTAATTGAATTTGAGAACATAAAGCAGGATGACTGTGGAGGAAATACATTGATTGAATTTGGGAACATTTGGCAGGATGACGGGGGAAATGCATTGATTGAAGTTGGGAACATTTGGCACAAGAACGTAAGGAATTAATTAAGGATGTACTTAATTTGGGCACAAGGGATTAAGTATGGGATTAAGGAAGAAATTAATAATTGGGGCTGGCAGAGCACCTATATTGTGACAGACGGGTTTCGAGGCACAATCCCCTCTTCATCAGAGCTCATTAAAATGGATAAAGAGGGGATCGCCCCTCGAAATGCGTCAACCATTTGAGGGTCTTCTCGTGCTTTGGGAGCTGACCTGGTGACGTGATTGCTTTGGATACGGATATGCCTTTGCCAACACAGTCGTTTGTGAGTATATATCTTCTTTTAGCTCTCAGGTAATGCACTAGGCCAGAGCACCCTCTGTTTCCCTGTATATACAGGATTAGTTGGTAGTATTTGACCAATCATAAGCAATATTACCTTTTAAAGAAGATAACGTATTCCCTGCAAGGAAATTAGTGGGCGTGGCCATATGGTCAGTTTACAATGACATTCCTATAGCATTAGGTCAGTTAAGGTAATCATCCTTACAGGGCCCCTAATCAGGATTTGGAGGCATTCTTATACATTATTGGGCCACAATCTAGGAAATATTCATTTCTCCATCATCTGGTCACATTTGTTTAATTAATGTTTAAAAAAACAAAAACAGGCCTTTAAGGCTACACCACAAAATGTACTCAGGCAATAAAAGGTATCTCCAGCTACCAATGGCCAACTCGGTCCCACACTTCATCCATGTCTTTGGTGACCTCTAATCTCCTCATGAACGGTTTATTCCATGATGAAGATCAGCCATGGAGTATATCTGAGGTGTATATCAGGGTGTGCTTCTTCCCCACATGAGAGCTGGGATGTCCAGCAACATTCATCTAGAAGACATTTCTCACACACAAGGCACTAATACACCTCCAGGTTGTGTGGGATCCCCTGATGTACAGGAATAAAGGACTTCAGTGAGGAACATTTCCCTCACTCAGGACAGGAAGGCGGCTTCTTCCTCGTGTGAGATCTCTGGTGTCTGTAAAGATCAGACTTCTGTAAAAAAAATTTCCCGCACTCAGGACAGGAATACGGCTTCTCCCCTGTGTGTGATTTCTGATGTTTGTAAAGATAGGACTTCTGTGAAAAACATTTCCCGCACTCAGGACAGGAATACGGCTTCTCCCCCGTGTGCAATCTCTTATGTGTGACAAGTGTGGATCTTTGTGTAAAACATTTCCAGCACTCAGGACAGGAATACGGCTTTACCTTTGTATGAGTCCTTTGATGTAGGACAAGTTCTGATTTTCGTACAAAGCATTTACTGCAATCAGAACAGGAATACGGCTTCTCACCTGTGTGTAATCTCTGATGACTATGAAAATTGGATATATCTGAAAAACATTTTCCGCACTCAGGACAGGAATACGGCTTTTCCCCTGTGTGAGATTTCTGATGTCTGTAAAGATGGGATATCCGTGAAAAACATTTCCCGCACTCCAGACAAGAATATGGCTTTACATTTGTGTGAGACCTTTGATGTACGACAAGTTCTGATTTTCGTCTAAAACATTTCCTGCACTCAGAACAGGAATACGGCTTCTCACCTGTGTGTAATCTCTGATGATCAAGAAGATACGATGTCTTTGAAAAACATTTCCCACACTCAGAACATGAATAAGGCTTTTCCCCCGTGTGAATTCTCTGATGTCCGTAAAGATGGGACGTCTGTGAAAAACATTTCCCGCACTCAGGACAGGAATACGGCTTCTCCCCTGTGTGAGATCTTTTATGCAAATTAAGACTGGATTTAGAATGGAAACCCTTCCCGCACTCAGTACAGGAGAAGCTCTTCCCTGTTGAAAGGTCGGCCCGGTCCCGCACAGTCTGAGGGTCCTCAGGATACGAGGAATCCGATGGTCCATCTACACTGGGTGGTGCTGGATGGACATTGGAAGGAGCCAGGTTTTCTCCTGGACTATACTGTGTGATGTCCTCATCTTCTACTTTCCAGTCTGGAGACAAAGTGAGACAATCCTCGGAGGTTTTCCTCATCTCCCAGCCATGGACTAAAATACAAAGTAAAAGAGGATTACTAGACTGGAGCTGATTGGTTCCCCCAAACCAGGACTCCGCCCACATCAGGCAGCTTGGTCTCTGAGGAGCTTACAATTCCACCCTCAAGGGAACTAGGAAATGGCTCCTCTGATCTCCTACCAGGTCATTTCTTTTTTCATGACGTTAGTCAGAGAGTGAGGAAACAACCAGAACTGTCTTTTATAGGAGGGACAGTGATGAGGGGATTATAGGACGAGGGTCCCCCCCCCCCCCTCTCACTCATCGCCATCTTCCCAACACAAGAAGTACTGCACTTCCTTATTTAGTCCATGATTTAGTCATGAAGAACAGCGGGGCTGAGCCCCACCAGAGGTCAGAGAGTGAGGATGGGGGGAGAACAACCAAGATGAAGACTGGACTGATCCTGAAGACCGCCATCATTGGGGTATTGACTCCTCCCTCATTATCACTTTCTGTTTAAGTGTCCAAAGTTGGAGGATGTTATCACATTATTATCACCATGTAAGTCTGTGCTCCAATCACATCATCCGATATAAAATGTCCAGCTGGTAGGAAATGGGTGTAACAAAAGAGAATACATATTATGTGTATATATAGCAGTGGGGGGAGGGGGGAGAGCAGAAGTCAGGACTATGGAATGTACAACATATTGTATAGTAATGCTACAACAGTTAGGACTTTATAGCATCAGGAGTATGTAATGTACAACATAGAGTATATAGTGCAGGGGTCAGGAGTATGTAATGTACAACATAGAGTATATAGTGCAGGAGTATGTAATGTACAACAGAGTGTATATAGTGCAGGGGTCAGGAGTATGGAATGTACAAGATAGTAATGTATAGAAAGTATAGAGTGCGGGGCTTAAGACCACGTATTGTGTAATATACATGTACATATAGTCTGATAGTCAGGACCAATAAAGACCATTGGTATCAGTAAGCAGTGGTAGTCTAAGGGGGAGATTTACTAAAACTGGAGCTCTCAGAATCAGGTGCAGCTGTACATAATAACCCATCAGGTTTTATCTTCAGCTTGTTCAATTAAACGTTGACAATTAAACCTGGAAGCTGATGGGTTGCTATGCAGAGCTGCACCAGACTCTGTGTGCACCAGTTTTAGTAAATCTCCCCCTAAAATGTTTACTTAACTGACACAAGCTAAAGAGGTTCAACACCGCTGCCTCCCATCTCCTGAGACTGCACTTACTGACTATACAGACATATCCCTCCACCCGGCACAGCCAGCAGACCACAGAGCAAGGAACCCTGGGAGAATTGTACTGTCAGAGATCTTACTAGACCCGGGCATGGAGAAGATGACTCAAGACCCAGGTTCCTAGGTCCAGTACTGCCTATGGTGAAAGTCCACGTTTTGCTGCCAGTTGACCCACCTGTGCTGATCTCTGTAGGAGTGTCCTTCTCTATAAATGTCCCCGTTATTCTATCCTCCTCCATAGACTGCTGATCATCCCTCACATACGCCTCTTCTTCTTCTGATTTCACCTCAATGTTAGAATCTCTCAGGTTTCCACTCTGAATCATAAAAATGACATCAATGGTAACAATGAAGATAATATACAGATCCTAATGATACTATCAGTGATTGTTCCTCATCTACCTGATGATGGTGAGGGATGGTGTGACCTTCCTGTGTGGAATCCCGGGAATACAGAGGACGGGGACATCTCTCTGGTGGGTTCCCATGACTGGATCCATCTACCTGATGATGATGAGGGATGGTGTGACCTTCCTGTGTGGAATCCCGGGAATACAGAGGACGGGGACATCTCTCTGGTGGGTTCCCATGACTGGATCCATCTGTAGGAAACACACACACTGACTGAATCCATTGTTTCTATGTGTTTATCAGATGATGGGGGATCTAGGTGGATCCTCCGTACTGCTCTCTCCTTTACAATAAAGTCTCCTCTTACCCGGTGATGTGAGGGGGGATCGGCTGATTGTCCATCATGACGTCCTTGTAGAGATCCTTGTGTCCTTCTAAATACTCCCACTCCTCCATGGAGAAATAGACAGTGACACCCTGACACCTTATAGGAACCTGACACACACAATGATACAGTCACCATCCAGACACATCCCTTGTCTGTTACTGGAGAATGTCCCAGAATTCCCGGCACCGCTCACCTCTCCTGTCAGCAGCTCCATCATCTTCTTGGTGACTTCTAGAATCTTCTGCATGTTGTGTCTCTCAGGGTTTAGGGAGTCACATGGAGGCACTGTGATGGTCATATGATCACCTGACTTCAGAAGAGGAAATCTCTGTATTGAGGAACCAATAGGAATATCATGTTAGAATCCCAGAATCCTCCTCACCGGTCAGGTCTGTGTTTATTAATAGGGATGAGAGTTATGTCATGTGACCTCCCAGAATCCTCCTGGCCTCTCTGGTCAGGTCTGTGTCATGTCATGTGACCTCCCCAAATCCTCCTCACCTCTCCGGTCAGGTCTGTGTTTTATTAATAGAGATAAGAGTGATGTCATGTGACCTCCCAGAATCCTCCTCACCTCTCCGGTCAGGTCTGTGTTTTATTAATAGAGATAAGGGTGATGTCATGTGACCTCCCAGAATCCTCCTCACCTCTCCGGTCAGGTCTGTGTTTTATTAATAGAGATAAGAGTGATGTCATGTGACCTCCCAGAATCCTCCTCACCTCTCCGGTCAGGTCTGTGTTTTATTAACAGACAGGAGTGATGTCATTGGACCTCCCAGAATCCTCCTCACCTCTCCGGTCAGGTCTGTGTTTTATTAACAAGACAGGAGTGATGTCATGTGACCTCCCAGAATCCTCCTCACCTCTCCGGTCAGGTCTGTGTTTTATTAATAGAGATAAGAATGATGTCATGTGACCTCCCAGAATCCTCCTCACCTCTCCGGTCAGGTCTGTGTTATTAATAGATATAAGAATGATGTCATGTGACCTCCCAGAATCCTCCTCACCTCTCCGGTCAGCAGGTAGATGATCTCCAGGGTGAGGTTTAGTATCCTCTCAGTCATGTGACTCCGGTCCTCCTCCATTCTCATTGATGTGGTCATGTGATCTACACAGGTTTTCTGCAGACGTAGAATTATCTGGACTGTATTGGTTGTACAATATTAGAAGAGGGATTTAAGGCAATAAGAGGTGGACCGTCCCCTGTAAGAACTGGCACATGTGTAGGGAGCTGATTCTGTCTAGTCAGTGGTGTATCATCCATGTGTGCAGGGTGTGCGGTGCACACGGGCCCCAAGGGAAGGGGGCCCTGACACACTCAGCACACCTGGAGGAAATGACAGCAGGTCGATAATAAGCCATTGTGCCCTAAAGATTCATTAGCGGTGTCCAAGAAGAAGCAGCAGCCAATGTACTATCTTTCTGTTTTCTGATGCTTAGGTGATTGCTGTCACATTTCTGACATTCAAGCTCTGGCTGCCAACACCTGCAAGAGTGAGCAAGCTTTGGACAGTGATTGGATGAGGGGCTGAAAGGATAGTTCAGAATCCAAATTACATCTAGCACCCTGGCATGCGGGGACGGGTTGATAGTTGAGCCGTTGATCTTGACTGAGAAGTCAGTGGAAGGGGCACGTAGGGGAGGAAATATTGGTTTTGGATAGATTGCGTTTGAAGAAGTGGTGGGACATCCAGGCTGATATGTCTGTTAGTAGATTAGTGATGCTTGAGGAGACTGATGGAGCTGAGGTTCACCAAGATAGATTTGGGTGTCATCAGCCTAGAAATGGTATCAAAAATCATGGAAGGATGTCAACCGACCCAAGGAGGCGGTGTAGATTGAGAATTGGAGAGGTCCAAGAACAGAGCCTTGGTGAACCCCGGCGGAGAAAGGAAGAGGAAGTAGAATTGTAAGTGACATTGAAGGTGCGGTGGGATAGGTAGGAAAGAACCACCGAAGAGTACAGTAACGAAGACCAAAGGAGTAGAGTTTTTTAAGGAGGAGGGGGTGGTCAACTGTGTCATAGGCAGCGGAGAGGTCCAGGAATAGGAGTACAGAATAGTATTCATTGGTTTGAGCCGTTAGTAGATCGTTTGTGACTTTTAGAGAGTGGTTTCCATGGAGTGTGTGAAATCCAGACTAAAGTGGATCAATGTCATTCTCGGTAAGATGGTCACTCAGTCGGTTGTAAACCAGATATTCAGTTCAAGGAAAAGGGGAGTAAGGAGATAGGACGTAGACTGTTGAGATTGGTGGGGTCCATTGAGGGCTTTTTAAAGATGGGGTGACTAGTACATGTTTTAGGAAGTTGGGAAGATGCAAGAAGAGATAGAGAGATTGAAGATGTGAGTTACAGAGTGTAGGATAGAGCCAGAGGCTGACCATAGTAACCCTGAGGAACAGGGTGCAGGGGGCAGTTGGTTAGGTGGGCATTACAAAAAAGTTTAACAACCTTGTCTTTGGTGGTGGGGTTCAATGACGGAAGTAGTGATTGTACCTGTGGACATGGAGTGTTAAGTAGGGGAGGTATCTGCGCATTGGAGATCTTCTGGGCAGTGAGTGAGTTAGTGGGTGGTGGCAAAGGAGGATGAAGAAGACAGCTGAAGCAAGAGCAGAGTTGACTGGGACTGGATGAGGTGTTAATAAGAGTGATAAAATAGGTCTGCTTGGCAATGAGGAGACATGAATAGTGTTTTTGGAGGGAAGATTTATATTGGTTGAAGTCATTATGAGACTTAG